CGTTGTAGGAAACTGCGTGGAATGTCCGTTTCACGGATGGCAGTTTCGGGGAGACGATGGCAAATGTGAGAAGATCCCCTACGCAGACAAAGGTAGGAAATAGGAAGATTTAAAAGAAAGTGTCAGTGTCTGTGGGTGGTTGAAGATTAGATCTCGTTTGTCCTTCAGTGCCAGAAATTGCGAAGGTGCGCCGCTGGCCCAGCTGTGAAGTCAACCAGCAGATCCTGGTGTGGTTCCACTGTGATGGAGCAGAACCACAGTGGAGTGTCCAGAGAAGCAGGAGATCACCAACGGCCAGTGGGTCTACCGAGGGAGGAGCGAACACTTCATCAGCGCTCACATAGAAGTAGGTGGATGTGGGTGGGAGTCTTCTCTTTACAGGCGCCTAAAAGCTCTGACCTGCAGAGATGGGAAATTGTGGCATCAGCAAGTCATCTCCATGTCGTGTTCTTGAGCAGAACATGGAGATTGTTAGGTAGAAATGGATATTATAGCTTCATTCCATGACTGTTAAACATCTGGTGCTCCTTAAGAATAAATAAACGCAGGTTTCATCCTGCAGCCGCTACAGGGAGGACGTGACCTTCGAGCTGTTTCTGGCAGACCAAGCAAGTCGGTTTTATCAGTGGAACTCGTTGATGCCACAAGTTCGCATCTACGCTGACGTTGCAGCCATCTTGGTCAAATCTTGACAAAACCCTTGTGTGTGTGTGTGGCCGTGTGAGCGTCCTGTCAGTGTCCCGATTGATCATGCGCCCTGGCAACTTGGCTAAGGGGATGTCCCTTTGGCTGACTGGTTAGCATGCGTGACTCTCACCCGGGAGTCTGGGGATCGAATCCCGCCCGGCCCTCGTTTCCACCTTGCCACATGAGCAGAAGATGGATGACCCGTTTGCCACACGCACCATCATCTTTTCTCCCAGCCTCTCTTCCTGTGGTCACCTACCGCAGATTAGCACCTGCACACGTGAGAACACACAGCGTCACCCTAATGGTTCCATCCCAGAGAAATTACTCACTTGACTCTTTCACAATAAGAGTCTCAAACAGAAACACCAGATGTCTGAAGCTTTGCGGTGCAAAGCCAAGGTAGGCGGAGCCACAAATTCACCCACCAGCTCCACCGCCGTGCAGCCACACAGAAGAGCATGAGGAGAAACGCTGCTCGAGTCTGTGGCACACCCAGCTCCACAACGCTTCAGTGAAATATCAAAATAAAAGCTCGGAAAGAAGTTTCAGAGTGAAAAAGCAAAGTTTTCTTGCTGCAGGTGAATCATCTTTAGAAAATATTGTGTTTTTTCTTTTTAGGACCTTTCAGAAAACGCAGCAGATGCTTCTCACCTGGGTCACCTGCACGCCGCGGGCTTCACCAGCGGGGTCAGACCCGCTCCACTACAACAGCCAGACCTGGGATTGTGTGCAGCACAACTGGAAGGTGAACACAGCTTCTAATGATGAAGACACGCTTTTTTTTATTTAGAATTTCACACAAAATCACCAGAAGGTACACCATCAAAACATACCACAAAACACGGCCCGACAACCTAACATCTCCCCGCCGAGCCCTTTAGTCTCTGCCTGTCATGTTCCAGAGGAAGTTGCACCATCATTTCACCGACCCAGTGAGCGTATGCTGGTGGCGGTGTGTGTGTGTGTGTGTGTGTGTGTGTGGGTGGTTGGGGGGGGGGGGGGGGGGGGGGTCTTTTCACCTGGACAAACAGCAAAAGGTGATCATGTCCAACTGGCGTGTGTCCAAAGGAGCATCCTCCATGACCACTCCAAAAAAAGCAGTCAGAAGGGTCTGGGTCAACAGTGGTCCAACAGATCTTGGAGAGTACATCAAACTTAGACCTCCAACATCTCTGTAGCTTCGGACAAGTCCAGAACATGTGAAGAAGAGTGGCAGGGGACCACTTGCAATGTTAACTATTGGTCCAAGTCTGGCTGGATTTTAGACACTCTGTCTTTGGACCAGTGCAAACGGTGACCTGGAGGACACCGGGTCACACACAGTTGAGGATTTATGAAAGTTCTGTAGAACCTTGTTCCAGACCTCCTCCGGCTAGCTAACACCCAGCTCCAGTTCCCATTTCTGGTTTGATGGTGTGAGCTGAGCCGGGCGTAAAGCTTACTCAGAACTCTCCTGGTAGATGTCCCAACAGTCTAAAACATCGCCGAGAAGAGCTGGAGACAGGCGCAGGGGAAATCATTCCCAGTTAGACTTAACAAGGTGTCTCAGTGGTAAGTACCAACCTGTGGATATGAAACCAACCACTAGTTGTGACAACTGTAGGTCATAGAGGGTGTAGGCCTCTAGTAGCCCCGCCCATTAAAGACCTCATCACACACAGAAGGAATAAACGTGGTTCTGAATCACAGGGGCAGCAAACCACAATTCAGTTAGACCAATAGACAATCTACACTGATTCCAGGTCTTCATTGTCTGAACAACGATGGGATTGGAAGAGTATGAAGATATTGAGCATGAGAAGGGCGGCTGAGAGCAGAGTTTAGCTCTCTCCACCGTCACCAAACATCAGCACCTTCCCTCAACCGGAACAGCAAAGCATTCATATTGGAAACCCAGTAAGGCACCGCCTGGCCTAAAAGAAGTCGCCACCTTAACAAAGGTCACACACTCTGATGTTTCGTAGGACCGCCTTTAGCTTTGGTTACGACACACATTCGCTGTGGCGTTGTTTCGATAAGCTTCACCAGATTTGTTTGCGTCCAGTGTTGCATTAACGTTTCACCCAGATCTTTCACTGATGATGGTAGAGTGTGACCGCTGCACAAAGCCTTCTCCAGCACATCCTAAAGATTCTCCATGGGGTTAAGGTTAGGAATATGGCCGTGCCATCAGGGAAGATGGAATAACCTGGTCATTCAGGATATTCAGGAAGTCAGCTGACCTCATTCTTGGAGAACATCCTGTTGCTGAACCTAGACCTGACCACCTGCAGCAAGCCCAG